AAGGTTCCAATCCCTTCAGTCTTCTACCAGATAAATTTCGGAGAGTGTGAGGGGGAATTGCACAACTTGATTCCCCTAGTCCTTTCCATCATCGTACCACAAGACAATCGGCGAAGCGTCACCGATTAATGGTAGCATCCTTGTGGGTACTGCTAAGGAGTGGAATTGTTTGCCAGAGTATTTCCTGAAGGATATGACCTGGCTGTCTTCAAGGCCCGAGTGAATAAGTTGCTTATGGGTCGACGTGCTCCATTGTAGGCCACATCATCGCTTTCATCCAGGCGAGATAGTGGTCAAACGTCAGTCCTATCCATATCTAATATAAAAAAACGACGGGTTGCACTTCGGGAGTGCCGGCAGAAAACTTAAGTATTAACATTGTGACCATAGAGCAACACGGAGGGGAGTAGCTATTGCGTTTTTACCGATACAAAACTGTCTGTCATTTTTTGCGGGGGAAAATCACAAATTCTCAAATTCTCACTCAAAAACATTCGATGTCACTACGTAATTCACACAATGACGATTGAAAAATACACTACCTAACAATTTCACAGACACATTTAAACAATCCCTGTCATAATAGTGTAATAATATGACGCAACTACACTTACAAGTCCCTACACCCGCAGTTGTAACAATTGTCGATACCTACGCATTATCGACAAATTCAAGAACTCAGTTAAAGAAATTAGCTTTAAAGCTAATTTCCTTAAGTTATTCAAAGACAGATATTATTATTGACTTTATTTATTATGTAGGTAAGTAGGTACTACAATAATCAGTTAACATATATTTATTTATTTATTTATTCTTTAACGTACCTACATAATTTGTTTATGGTACATAAGGCGAACTTAATGCCATGGCATTCTCTACCAGTCAACCTTAGGGTTAAGTAGAAAATCTGCGAAAACTGTGGTACGGAGAATAAACTAACAACAAAGAGAGAGAGAGAGAGAGAGAGAGAGGAAAAAATAATGGTAATTATCAAATAATACAGTTATACATATATATCACATAATAGTGAATAGTATATATAGTCATATGCATAAAATATATAGGTATAAATACATACATAAATATATATCGAAGAAGGCCTAGATCTAGCGTTGCAGCGATTTTAAATAAAATTCATGAACTTTGTGTTTGAAGGAGATTTTATTAGGAGCTTTTTTGATATTGAGGGGGAGCGCATTCCAAAGTTTGATGACACTTATTGTAAAAGAATTAGAAATAAAAGAGGTCCGGTGGGAAGGTATCTCAAGAAGCAAGTTGTCCGTCGAGCGGAGGTTACGGTTGTGGCAACTGCCTAATAGCTGGAAGCAGGATTTTAAGTAATCTGGAGCACAAGGATCATTAAGAATAGAGAAGAGCATGCAGAGGGATCTGAGGGATCTCCTCTCACGGACAGGAAGCCATTTAAGCTGAGCGCGAAAGGAAGAGATGTGGTCGTATTTACGAAGACCGAAGATAAAGCGGATACAGTTATTGAGCATTCGATCCAATTTGTTAAGAAGGTCTTGGGATAGACATATACCTACTTAACAATATACCTACTTAATAGTCATATACCTACTAAACAAAAAAAAATTATTTTTTTTTAAATAAAATAAGAAAAACTATTCCTTTTTAAAAACCAGTGATGAAATACTGAGACGGAACTATCACTGGTTTCTAAATGGATTATTTTTTTATAAATATTTTAAAGCCGCACAGGCTTCAAGCTGCAAGTTCGTGAGAGCTTTCCACTTTTACATTTCTTTGGTTGACGCTTTATAAGCTCTGCTTCTTCAATGCCAATTTTTTCCACGACCATTACGCTAGTATTATATTATCTATGACCTTGCCAATGAATAAAATAAAAACTTACGGAACAAATACAGCTCTGCGTTACAGTTGGTTTGGCGCCATCGACTAATCTCCTTCTATTGTTCGCCAACACTTGAAATTCAGATGTCTTAAAATGATTTGAGCAAATGGCACTATTCCTTGTGGGAATCCAGGGTGGTCTGTTATGACAAAATGTCTTCCATATATCTCTTAAATTTGGATCTTTAGGAAACCTGCAATAAATAAATAAAATAATAATAAATATAGTTGAAGTTCTCACTCAGTATTTTTTATTTAAATCAGAAAATCTAATCTCAAAAAATTCTCTAATTTGACTTAACCTTTCACATTTTCATCGATAACTATCTACAAACAAACCGGCAACAACACTATCGCTTGGCGACGCTCTGCGAATTCTAGGAAAAAGACTCGGATCGGTCGAGCGACCGATCCGCGTTTTGTATAAGGACGCACGGCCTTGATTGGTCAACAAATCCGTAACAACACGATTGATAATTTGTAGTTTTTTTTTTAAGTTTATAAGAAGTAAATAGCAATAATGTGATAAAAAATTACTTACATATGAAAGGTAACGCCATCTTTTTGTAAATTTGACGTGGCAGATCTCTTTTTGCAGCAAAAAACAGAACAATTCGGCATTTTTACGACGCCGTCGATTCACTCACGCAACTGGATTTAGTCTAGTGAGCAGTTTAATTGCAACTAGTTTTTATTATACGGATAGGACCATTTGGACTTATACTTTGACAGAGGGGAACGCCCACAGATATATTAAAGTATTTCTGTGGGAACGCCTGTGTATAGCTACTCCCCTCCGGTCCGCCGGTGGCCTGTGTTGCTCTATGTCCGGAGGTGGTGTTGCTCTATGGTGGCGACCACAGATATAATAAAGAATTTCTGTGGTGGCGACACATCACATGTCATGTCACACGTACACGTCAAATATCGATGAAAACAAATCAACGGATGATGGGGATTTGAATCACTGAACCTATTTACCACTTAACCATTGAACCTATTTTATTAAAATTCGTTTCAACGAGAGTTTGAGACACTGGCACTGGAAAGGAAATCTCACGGGAAAGGAACTATGCGTTAAAATTCCGGAACTCTATATTGCTTAAACCACTGAACCTATTTGAGTGCAATTCGGTGCAACGATAGTTTGATACTCGGAAAATGACGCCTGATAACTTCCAGCTGTACCTACCTATTTGATTGTAAGTCAAATGGACTTTTAATCACTGAAACCTCGCGGAAATGGATACTACCTGTACGGGTAAAATCCCCATGGTATTATGAAATAACGAAAACGAAAATAAACAACATTTCACAATACATAACATCATCACGCCTTTTATTCCCGAAGGGGTAGGCAGAGGTGCACATTATGTACAATGTAACACCCACTTTTCACAATTCATGTTATAGACCCATGTAATAGGGGGTGAGCCTATTGCCATATACCGGGCACAATACCAGACTCCGTGCTACAACTGAGAATTTTTTAAAAACTCAACTAATACTTTGCCCGACCTGGGAATCGAACCCGAGACCCCTTGCCCGGCAGTAGCACTTGCGACCACTCGGCCACCGAGTTTTAGTCTTATTTTGCACAAATTGCTTTAATTATCAGAATAAAAGTAGGTACTATCTTGTATGTGGTAGAATAGGTACCTACAATATTTATTTATTGCGCTTTCGTACACAAACGTCCTGACGCGAGTTTAAGTGTTAGAGAGCCATGCTTCGGCACGAATGGGCCGGGTCGACCGGAGTGATACCACGGCCTCAGAGAAAACCGACGTAAAGCAATGCTTGCGTTGTGTTTCGTCGTGTGAGTGAGGTTACCGGAGGCCCAATTACCCTCCCCTTCCCCAATCTCCCCAATCCCTGAATTCCCACCGATACCCAAGCTCCTAATCCCCAAAAGGCCGATAGCGCACTTTTAACGCCTCTGGTGTTCCAGATGTCCATGGGCGACGCCGATTGCTTACCATTAGGTGATCCGTCTGCTCGTTTACCGGCTTATGCCAAAAAAAAGACACTCCCTGTGGCCTAACACTACAACTGCAATCTGTAGCAGCGCTACAGTAGCCGCGTTGGGTGTCGCGGAATACTGCTCATTAATATAAACCACTAGCATGGCTTGAAACTTGTTGAGTTCCTATTTTTTAAATAATGACTTTTTACAAACATTTTATTCTAAATATGATTTTTTCAAACCGTTACCCACACTAGGATTTTCTCCTGTGTCGTAGGTGCGGTTACAAACATTCAAGTTCACATACACATGACACCCAGACCCGGAACAACAATTTGTGGATCACACAAAGCATTGTTCCGTGCGGGAATCAAACCCGCGACACGTTGCGCGGCAGCCAGTTGCCCAGCCACCGCGCCAACTATGCAGTCAAATTATATTTGTACCTGTACCTATATAGTGCAGGAGCAATTCGTAATTATCATTTTATTTTGTAAACACAAACTATTACGTAGAGGTTGAAAACCTCTGACCTCTTACTTTCGAGTTCTGAAATCGGGATAAGATCCGAACTTTCATAATGTGCAGAAAGTTGTAGTAACTCCTAAAATAAGTAGGTAAACAAAAGATATTTAAGTGTAATAACACGACTAAGAATTCAATATAATGCGTAGGTATTGCAGTAAAACACTCGTGCCTACATCGTAAGGGAAGTTATGATACCCGGAGAAAAATGAAACAACTCGATTAGGTTTCGTAAAAATCACGATTCAGGAATTGAAGTTCTTGACACAATTACTCATTCAAAAAGGCAAACGCTGAATGAGAAAGTAAGACGTAACAAAATGGTTAAGACGTAACGACTAATAATGTTGCTATAAATTTGCACTACCTATATCTGGCGTTATGGACGACATTTTGTCTTGCACTGTTTTTCATGTTGCCCCTACTCACCCTATACTACATTCATGTTGTTGTAGAGAAAAGTGTACTCTTTGTCTATGGTACGGTGCAGTCTGCATAGACTATAGAGACGCTATTTATTCTGTCAGTGTAATTTATGTCATCCCGCTGTGAAGCAAAAAGTATTTCACTTGGTGTAGTATTTTGTTGTTTCTTATTTATTAATTTATAACGTGTGAACGGTGGGCCGCCGAAAATAATGGCGCCTCGGCTTGCAGCCTTACAACGCGAGCACATCATTGCTCTACGGCAAAGCGGATGCCGTGTAACAGACATATGTCGTCTAACTGGAATTACGGTGAATAACTGAATAACTATTTAATAAATTCCTTAAAAAAATCTATTTAACACTAACAATACTATAAACCATCAATAAATAGTTTTGTTTGTGAACTACTGAAATTTTAATTAATATTCACTGTTTAGTTGTAATATTTATATTGCTACAATTTAAGTCATAGTATGTACATAAATTGTTTTATTATATCGTCTTTTATCACTGGAAGGAGTAGACAGAGGTGTACACAATGCCACATAGAACTACACACACCCTCATTGCACCAGTTATATTAATAGTCCCTTGTATTAGGGCTCAAAAACAAATAAAATATTTAACTACATTCTTAAAAGTATGTAAATACAAACAATAACTTAACATAACAGCACACCTTTTATCCCCGAAGGGATAGGCAGAGGTGCACATTATGGCACTAATGCCACTGTACAATGTAACAACACCCACTTACACTATTTATGTTATGAGTTCCAGATTTTGTACTACTACAACATAACATAACATCACGCCTTATGTCCCTGAGGGGTAGGCAGAGGTGTACGTTATGCCACTGTACAATGTATTACCCACTTTTCACTATTTACGTTATGAGTCCAGTAATAGGGGGTGAGCCTATTGCCATATACCAGGCTCAATTCCAAACTCCATGCTACTACTGAGATTTTTATTAAAATCCTAGTAGTACTTTGCCCGGCCAGGGAATGGAACCTGAGATCCAGTCGCACTTGCAAACACTTGGCTAACGAGGCAATCATGTACTATAATACAGGCTTTGCCTAGTGCGGCTGTCATTGTAAATTTTTACTGTAAACACTGGAATGCCTAATAAAGATTTATTATTATTATTTTTTTTTTTATTAAATATCTTATTCTAATTGGATTATTTAGAAATGGTTATTTTTAGGAATGGATACTGAATAATTATCTATTTTTATTTTAGTATTTATCTACGTTTTTGGTAAATACTTAAGTTAGAGAGTTGTCAGTATTTATTTACGTTGAATATTTGTATTAATCAACTAAAAATTGCGGGTTAGTCACATGAAAATACTACGAAAGGCTCTAATAGTTTCGACCCACAGAATGATTCTTCCTCTTAAGCAGCGTGCGCAGTAGATACACACACACACACACATACATATTGTCAATGGCTATTTTAGTAATAGTGATAGTGACAAATGTATTGTAGTTTGTGCAACTTGTTATTGGTATTTTTTCTCTTTATTTCGGTGTTTAGTCGCAAGACTATAGGCTGATGAGTTGAGCTGTAATGGCAACTCATCATGCACGGCCTATACTCAGCAGTATGTAACACCAATAAACGTTATTAACATAACATCACGCCTTTTATCCCCGAAGGGGTAGGCAGAGGTGCACATTATGCCACTGTACAATGTAACACCCACTTTTCACTATTTATGTTATGAGTCCCATGTAATAGGGGGTGAGCCTATTGCCATATACCGGGCACATTTCCAGACTCCGTGCTACTACTGAGATTTTTTTAAAAACCCAGTAATACTTTGCCCGACCCGGGGATCGAACCCGAGACCCCTTGCCCGGCAGTCGCACTTGCGACCACTCGGCCAACGAGGCAGCAATAAACGTTATTATTTCAGAGAAATACAATCTACCAATGGATAAGACGGTGGGAGGAAGATGGCAGCTTGCAGGTCCATCACCGCAAGGTTTACAAGCGGGCGACCACCGCGGAGCAGGACGCTGCCATAATTGCGGCTCATGCTTCAGACAAACACCTCAGCACGCGAGTCTCTTCCACAAGTTACAATGTGAGTCAGAATCGCCAAGAAGCCTTCTTATACTATTATAATATAGTATCACTACATAGTATAAAACAAAGTCGCTATCCGCCTTCTGTTCGGCGTCGCGGAGAACCTAAGGTGTATCCGGGGCTCCGGCTCGTCGTGCAGGAGAAGGAACGGGGTGGTTTTTAGTCAGTAAGAATCTGACACTCCCTCCCGCCTCACCCAGGTGAAGCCGGGGCGGGTCGCTAGTATGTGTATAAAGTTGTAGTGTTTGTTTGTTTGTTTGTTTGTTTGAACGCGCTTATCTCCGTAACTATTGGTCCGATTTGATAAAATATTTTTCTGTTGGATAGTCCATTTATCAAGGAAGGCTACATGCTATAAAACAACACGCTACGAGCAATAGGAGCTGAACAGAGCGGGTGAAAGTGCGCGAGGAATGTTAGTACTTTTTATGATTTAAAGAAACTTTCTTTTACAGATATCAATGGCCACGGTACGGCGACGTTTAAAGGAAGCCACTAAAAAAAAGGATGAAAAATCAGGAGTAAGTATATTACTATATTTATATATCTTGGTCATAGCTCTTGGATACCCGGCCCTCGTAAGCGCGGGCCTGCGGACGACGAACATAGGTGGCTCCCCGTCCGACCAGAAACAGAACCGAGCGTACGGCGCCAAGCGTCCCGCGCGCTCCTCAAACAGCCATTAGACCACCACGGATGGGGCCCAACAGGGCTGATGCCGATTCGGAGTCGCGGAGAACCTAACGGGTTACCGGGGCTCCGGCTCGAAGCGCAGGAGAACGAACGAGGTGGTTTTTATCCAGTAAGAGTCCGACACTCCCTTCCGCCTCACCCAGATGTGAGCAGTCATTCGATGATTTTCCTCCCCTTTGCCTTTTGTATCAATCATTGTTTTTATCCCTGCATCACCCATAAGTATGGCTAGAGGAGAATGCCCAAGCCCATATTTTAGGGTAGGGTTGAAAACCCTAGCCTTTTTTTTTTTGTTGAGGGCGGAAAATCATCGAATGACTTCTCCCGCCTGGGTGAGGCGGGAGGGAGTGTCAGACTCTTACTGACTAAAAACCACCCCGTTCCTACACCTGCACTTCGAACCGGAGCCGCGGCAACCCGTTAAGTCTTCCGCGGCTCGAAAACTCTAGCCCTAGCGCACGTTTACGTACCGCGCGGCTGTAGGTATTTAACTCTGTCGTGCGGTCGAGTTACACTACTGTATAACAATATTACCGTGGTACAGTTTTAAATTTCCTACGATTTTATTGATATTAAATAGACTGCACTGTTGGTGAGGTGGCTGGGCAACCGACTGCCGTGCAACGTGTCGCGGGCTCGATTCCCGCACGGAACAACACTTTGTGTGATCCACAAATTGTTGTTCCGGGTCTGGGTGTCATTGTGTATGTAAACTTGTATGTTTGTAAACGCACCCACGACACAGGAGAAAATCCTAATGTGAGGCAACGTTTTTATGTAAAAAAAAAAAATAGTAAGATTTAATATTATTTCTTTATTTCAGAATTCGGAAACTAAAAAAGAAACTGAGAAAAAACTATTGTGTCCGAATTGTAAAACTGAGGTGGAAACTCCGGCTGTAAAGAGGCAAGAGGTAATTTTATTATTTAAACTCACACTTTTGTCCTAACGGGGGTAAGCAAGAACCAGTAACTGAGTGATCTGGTTATAGTTATAAAAAGGACTTAATCAGGACTTAATCTGACAATATACGAGTTAACCCGACTAGTTTCGAGCTACGATAGGGCCCGTAGTTATGAGCAAAATTAAGCGACAAACGATTAATTTTTTACGGTTTTGTCATAATGACAAACAAACTGAAATTGTGCCCGGTATATGGCAATAAGCTCACCCCCTATTACATGGGACTCATAACATAAATAGTGAAAAGTGGGTGTTACATTGTACAGTGGTATAATGTGTAGCTCTGCCTACCCCTTCAAGGATAAAAGGCGTGGTATGTTATGTTATGATAATCACAGAGTTATCAAGACTGATCACAAAAGTATAAAAACGTACCTATTTAATTTATTTACAGAATCAAAGGAAAATAATGATAGCTCGAGTGTTCCACTATTTGGCTCAAGAATTTGAAGATTTAAAGAAGATGTCAGGTCCTCAGCAAATGCATGCGATGGGACAGATTCACAAACGAGCTGCTGCGGCTACTGGCGTCAAAGAAGCGGCAGTGGAACAGGCTCTGAAAGAAGAAGCGCAGAAGAAAGAAGCACGTAAGGAAACTAAGAGAAGAGCGTCCCTTACGCCACGGAAAAAGCCTATTCGAAAGACTGATAAGTAAGTAGCATTATATTGTCATCGGTACCTTCAAATCACTATCACTACATAATAATAATAATAATAATAAATAATAAATAATCTTTATTGTACACCAATTTGAGACAGTACATCAAGGAACAAATAAAGAAAATAGGGTACAAAGGCGGCCTTATCGCTAAAAGCGATATCTACCAGGCAACCTTTGGGTGGATAGAATAATAAAGTAGGATATTAAATGAGGTAGTTATAGCTTGGCGTACTCAGTGCTTATTTATATAATGTAAAAGAGTAAACATTAAAAAACAAATTTATTTACTTTTAATATAGAATTATATACATACATACACACACATACATACATACATACATACATACATACATACATACATACATACATACATACCTACATACATTCATACATACATATATACATATACTAATACATACATAAGTACATTTAGAAACAAGATACAATGACAGATAGGTGACACTAGGTGAAGAAACAACAATGAACTACAGTGTGGAGAGATAATGCTCCCTCACGCGTGCCTTGAACGTGACCAGTGACTTTGCTTGTTTTATGGACTTTGTTTTATATATACATAGTATAAAACAAAGTCGCTATCCGTCGTCTGTCGTCGCGGAGAACCTAACGGGTAACCGGGGCTCCGGCTCGACGTGCAGGAGAAGGAACGGGGTGGTTTTTAGTCAGTAAGAGTCTGACACTCCCTTCCGCCTCACCCAGGCGGGAGCAGTCATTCGATGATTTTCCCCCCTTAAAAAAAAAATCCGTCATCTATCCATGTATGCTTAGACCTTTAAAACTACGCAACGGATTTTGATGCGGGTATTTTTATTAGATACCTACGGTGATACGGTGAACGGACTGCCTCGTTGGCCGAGTGGTCGCAAGTGCGACTGCCGAGCAAGTGGTCTCGGGTTCGATTCCTGGGTCATGCAAAGTATTACTGGATTTTTTAAAAAATTCTCAGTTGTAGCACGGAATTGTGCCCGGTATATGGGAATAGGCTCACTCCCTATTACATGGGACTTATAACATAAATCGTGAAAAGTGGGTTTTACATTATACAGTGGCATAATGTACACCTCTGCCTACCCCTTCGGGGATAAAAGGCGTGATGTTATTTGTTTGTTTGTACCTACGGTGATTTTTAAGGAAGGTTTCGAAGTATAATAATACATGCATATTGCACCCGTGCAAAGCCGGGGCGGGTGGCTTGATTTCAATAAAAAATGAGTACTACTCTTTAAAAATATGTTGTACTAGCTTTTACCCGCGGCTTCGCTCGCGTCACAAAAGGATAAAAAGCCAATGTGACATATACCAATACAAACAGCGCCATCTATACCAATACTTTTGTTTTCCCTCGGAAATATCAATTTTTTCCGGTATAAAAAGTACCCTATTATTTAATCCGGACTTCTAACTTTACGTCTGCAAAATTTCAAAGCAATCGGTTTAGTAGTTACGGCGTTATAGTGGAACAAACAAACTCACTTTCCGATTTATAATATTAGTAAGGATAACTCCTCTTTGGCTTTATTTTACTAAAGGATGCGTACACGTCACATTTTTTAGCCCCGGATTAGGTGTAGATAAAGGTGCTTATATAGAACTCCCACTTCGCATCATCACCTCACCGGTTACTTAAGTAATTGGGTACTTTCCGTAATCAAAAATAAATTATTTCAACTATTCAATACATTACAATAATCTATACTAATATTATAAAGCTGAAGTTTGTTTTTTTGTTTGTTTGTTTGAACGCGCTAACCTCCGAAACTACTGATTCGAATTGAATAATTCTTTTTGTGTTGGATAGTCCATTTATTGAGGAAGGCTATAGGCTATAGCAAACAACCAACAGCAATGAATCCTCGGACTTTTTTCGTCTGCAATAGCATTTATATTCTGCATCAAAACATCGCTGGTCTCTTGAACAAATCTGATGCATTAACCATATGTTTAGATAAACTTACTGAGAAAAATATACAAGTAGAAATAATATGCATCACTGAGCACTTTATTATGGACGGCTACGAAAACCACTTAGTAATTCCAAACTACACACTAGCAGCGATCTATGGTAGGGGCCACTGCAAACGTGGAGGTGCCTGCATTCTCGTAAAAAATGGGACTCAGTGGAAGGAGTTACCAGAAATAAAAAGTCTGTCAATTTCAGGTCTGTACGAGTGTTGCTCAATAGAACTTATAAGTTATGATATAGTTATTGTATGTGTTTACAGGGTGCCCAAACCAGAGAATTTAAATACATTTTTCAGTAAAATAGACACTACATTACAACGATTAAATAAAAAATCTTGTAAACATTGTATAATCGCGGGTGATTTTAACATTGACTTATTAAAACAAAACAGTGTAACATGTGACTTTGAGAACTTATTATTGACGTACAATATGACTTTAGCTGTAAGAGAACCGACAAGATTGATAAGTAAAACTTGTATCGATAATTTTGCTCACAATTTCAAAAAACAATGTAAGACGGAAGTGCTAGAATTGGCTTTGTCAGATCATACGGCGCAGCTGATGATGATCCCTGTTAGGCGGGTACCTGTTATTAAGATATGGAGAAAACGAACTCGTGATTTTTGTGATGAAAATATATCAAAATTTATGAAATGTCTTAATAATTACTCATTCTCTGAGATATATGCAGAAACTGACCCCAACAGGGCATACAATTTCTTTAGCGAACATTTCGAACTTTTTTACAACCTTTGTTTTCCATTCAAAACTATCACTGTACATGTAGATAAAAAACAAAGATGGATATCTCGTGGAATAAAGAAATGCAGTATAAGAAAGCGACATCTATTATGGAATTATAGATTAAAACCATCAATTAAAACAAAAAACATGTTTATTACATACTCTAAATTACTTAAAAAAATTATTAGACTTACAAAACGTTCACAAAACAATTATAAAATTAAATCCTCTGACAATAAATGTAAAGCTACGTGGCAGATAATAAATGATTCAAGATTAAATATCCCAATTGACATTATAAGTAAAATTAAAGTGAGCAATAATACAATTTCTGATCCCAACGTTATGGCCAATGCCTTTAATAATTACTTTGTTGATAAAATAGTACCCATATCCGGTCGTGGCAAAAAAGTGACATCGCGGATTGCAAGCACGATTAATTCTATTTTTATGGCTCCATGTGTACCAAAAGACATACACAAAATTATTTCCGAGCTGAAGAATACTAACAGTGTAGGTTTTGATGACATTTCAACTAAAATTATTAAAATCTGTAACCGACATATATGTGGACATTTAAGTCATCTTTTAAACTTATGCATTAGTAACGGTGTTTTTCCTGATAATTTAAAAGTAACTATTGTAAAACCACTGTATAAAAAGGGTGATAAAGAACTATTACAAGCCTATAGACCTATTGCACTATTATCAATATTTTCTAAAATTTTTGAAAAGTATATTTATAACCAATTATACACTTATTTAGAATCTAATAAACTACTATGTCATGAGCAAAAAGGTTTCAGAAAAAACAAAAGTATCAATTTGGCTATATATGATTTTTACAAAACAGTGCTGACAAACGTTGATAAAAGGACTCCCATATGTGCCATATACTGCGATATGACTCAGGCTTTTGATTACGTGGACCATCAAATACTATTAAACAAATTAGAATCTTATGGTATACGAGGCAGTATTCTGGATCTACTAAAATCATATCTTTCTAATAGATCTCAGATGACAACTATATCTAAGATTAATATTATGACTAAGAATCAAGAATCTTATTTGTCTGAGTCGCGTAGCATTACTTTTGGTGTGCCACAGGGCAGCGTACTGGGTCCGCTTTTATTTATCATTTATATAAATGATCTGCCTAAATTTACCACCCACCCAATGTCGCTTTTTGCAGATGATAGTACTGTATCTGTACAGTGTAAGACAAAAGAATTATATCAAGACGACATAAACAATTGCTTGGAATCAATTATTAACTGGCTAGATAATAACAATCTTAAAGTAAACTTATTAAAAACTCAAGTTATGCACTTTAGCCAGAGACCTCAGCCTCATGATATTCATATAGATTACGATAGTAACCCTATACACGAGGTAGAATCAGCGCAATTCCTAGGTCTAACTATCGATAGGCAGTTGAATTGGAAGGCGCATATAGCAAAATTATGCAAAAAGGTGAGCAGTTCTGCATATGCTATGTACAGATTGGCCCCAGTAGTGAACATCGATGCTTCACTCACGGCCTACTACGGCCTTGTTGACTCTGTCTTACGGTATGGAATAATCTTCTGGGGAAACTCAACAGATAATGCGCTGGTTTTTAAGGCCCAAAAACGTTGCATACGAGCCATGTTTCACCTGGACTCGACTGACTCTTGTAAACCGTCCTTTATAGCACATAAAATTTTAACACTTCCGTCATTATACATATTAGAGACAGCACTGTTTGTTCATAAAAACCCTCATCTATTTGAACAAATTTCTGATGTGGTAAAAAGAAACAGGCGCAAAATTAATAGTAATAGACTGTGTCTGCATAGTGCAAAAACTACTCTGGCACGAAAAAGCGTATTATGTATGGCGCCAAAAATATATAATAAAATTCCTAATGATATTAGAAATTGTAATGTAAGATTATTTAAAAATAAATTGAAAATAATTCTGGCCAAGAAATGTTATTATACTATTCATGAATTTTTAAATGAAAATAATTTTAATATGTAATTGTATCTCATATTATTCTTTAAATTAAATTAAATGTATACCTAATTGACTTGACGTTCACTTTGATTAACTGACATTTTCATGAAATTTTTATTTATCTAATACTAATTTGATTATATTGTAAAATGACTCATTCGTATTAATGTATTTCATTTAATAATACTTTTGCGCGCTGTGTTCCACGGCAAAACATGCTGTACATAAACATTTTATTCAACATCTTGTTACCTACCATGTTTTGTGCAAATAAATGATTTGATTTGATTTGATTTGATTTGATTATAAAACATCTCGCTACGACCAATAGGAGCTGAGCAGAGCGGGTGAAACCGCGCGCAAGTAGCTAGTAAAAAATAATCACACTTTAATTAATAGATTTTATGTGTGTGCAGGCAACTGAAGATCGATCCGACGACGGCAGCTAACCTAGCAAGCAATATTCCTAATTTCCAGCCTCAAGCCATCAACAAGTGAGTTTTATCAAATGTTTTTATGAATCTTAATCTTACTAATTTTATAAACTAGCTTCTGCCCGCGACTCCGTACGCGCAATCCCGTTTTCTCCCGTTCCCATAAGACTTTTTAACCAATTTTTTTTTTATTTTCCGAAAATCACGAACGAGGACGGGAAAAAATGGGATGGTACGCGTACGAAGTCGCGGGCAGAAGCTAGTTTAATATAAATGTATATTATTTGTTTTTTTTTTCAGTCCCTACATGCTGGCGAATATGGGTATGAACATGTTTCCACCACCACAAGTGAACTACTCGCGTTAATTAGTTATTAATTATTATATAGAGCTTTATAAGATTATGTTTATTGTAAGATTTATTTTATATTTTAAAATTAAATATATTAAAATCAAAGTAGCAACGTCGTCCGAATATGTTCGGATTCAATTCTATGAATATTTCAATCAATTTGTGTGTTTTTTTATCCTTAGTCTTCTTTAATTTCCCATTTATTGGTCCACAGCAACCCATCCATAGTCCTACCTTTTTTTTCAGTATCCACAATAGTTCTACACCAGGGAAGGCGAACCTTTACACATTAGCGTGCCAATTACTTTGAAGAAAAGTATTTTACGGTTTTATGTGTGCCATCGACTGATATTTACTGTCAATCTGTAGCAATAATGTATACAGTTGACCTGGTAAGCTGTCACCGCAGTCTGAGTACACCAGCAATATTCGAGACACCACAAATACGTTGTAGGTTTCTGATCATTCATCAGTTTTGTAGTCACTATCAACGGCACGCGTGCCAATGGTTCGCCATCCCTGTTCTACACTAACCGGGGACTGCCCTTGGCTGCAGTGCCATAGTGCGTGTGTTTATTACAAGTAGATTATAGTTAACTAAAAATCGCGAGTTACTCACGTGAATATACTGAGAAAAGCTCTACTAGTTTCCAACCACAGAGGGGTTCTTTCTCATAAGCAGCGTGCAGTCGCGGCGATGTCGCGCAGCCTACAAGGGGTTCGTAGGCTGCGCGTTCTGTGGTTCGAAACTAGTAGAGCTTTTCTCAGTATATTCACGTGAGTAACCCGCGATTTTTAGTTAATTCAATATATCTCACGATATGTAGTTATTATAAAACATAGATTATAGTTGTCTAAAGGGCCTCTGCACAGTTGGCTTCGGGCCCTCGTACGCCTCCCAAATGACCGGTACCATATGGTCCCGTGAATGGTAAAGACCGCAGGTAAAGACATACATAATAATTATTAATTAACTATTATATAAGGCGGAAGAGTTTGTTTTTTTTTTGTTTGTTCATGTTAATCATGTCAATTTATACGTCCTTTTTTTAATGATGTGATAATCATCGAATGACTTCTCCCGGCTGGGTGAGGCGGGAGGTAGTGTCAGATTCTTACTGACTTCAAACCACCCCGTTTCTACTTCTGCGACGACTTTTAATATCTACTGTGACGTGACAGCTGCAATTTAGTGACGGGACATCCGATTGAAAGCCATCGATGCCGCCGATACCCCTTCGCCCCGCTACGATTCAACTGAATCTGCCGCCGTGATCGTCTCGCTCATACTCATATTTTATATCTGTTGTCCGATTTTAATCAAATTTGTAAACTGTGTGCAGTTTGATTCAACTTGAAAGATAGTATAGAAAAAAAAATATGACAAAAACGTTAGCCACAGCAACGCGTGGCCGGGTCAGCTAACTAAGTATATTTTGACATGAAAAATGTATACTATACCTGTTCAAGTATTCCCTTCCTTGACAATGAAGGTTCTTGTGGTGTATCTTTATTCTGTTAAGCACAAATGAGTGTACCTATGTCAGATATTTTAATAAAATTTAAATTAAATAAAAACACTAAATATAAAACATTAATTTACTAACCTCGTCTTCATTGTCAATGAGTTTTAGTATATCTATAGTGGGGCATGCCGTTTTTTTCAACAATCTCAACTTTTTTCCTTCAACGAAACTAGTATTTTCAAAATGTGAAGAACAAATAGTACTGTTTTTAGTCGGGAACCAGTCTTTCCTTCCCGTGGCCGCAATCCATTTTTCTTTTATGATTGGATCACGTGGGAAACTAAAAAAAATATATTTTTAAATGCAATAGAAATAAACACATTAAATATGTATATAAAAAGAGTCGTATAATATTGAAAAGATAAACAAAAACACATTAAATACATCAACTCTAAAAAAAATCCTTTTTATAGCTGTCCTGTAAAATTAGGTCATGCACTTGAGCTTGTTATATCTGTTACCGGCCAAACCCGATTTCAGGACAAACTAGTTTTGCCTAGGCCAAACTAGTTCTTCCTATACGCGTTAGGATTAACTAGTATAGCCTAGTTCAAACTAATTTGTCCTAAGCCCGATAGGATAAACCAGTTTAGGCTAGGACAAACTAATTGATCCTGATATAAATACGCACACTCTAGGATAAACTGGTATGGCCTAGTCTAAACATTTTAATAGGTATAGGTATCTAGAAAGTAAAAAAAAATAGATAAACTGAATAAAATACTCCGTAATTGGAAAAATAATCATTTTTATGAAGCTATAATGATTCGTCGTTAAAACTTATGGTTAATTGGTAATACGAACAAAGAATAAGTGTTTTTTAAAAGAAACAATAATTATTTAAATTGATATTAATATAAAATCATAATGATTCGTCGCTACAAGTTATATGTAGATAATAATTGGCAATACAAACAATCATACTATAACCAACAATAGGTACTATTTTTTATCATATAACATCACGCCTTTTACCCCCGAAGGGTTAGGCAGAGGTGCACATTATGCCACTGTACAATGTAACACCCACTTTTAATTATTTATGTTACGAGTCCCATGTAATAGGGGTGAGCCTATTGCCATATACCGGGCATAATTCCAGACTCCATGCTACTACTTAGATTTTTTTTTAAACCTAGTAATACTTTGCCCGACTCTGGAATCGAACCCGAGACCCCTTGCCCCTGTAATCATATTATGACTATGATTGTTCGTATTACCAATTAACCATAAGTTTTAACGACGAATCATTGTAGCTTCATAAAAATGATTATTTTTCCAATTACGGAGTATTTTATTCAGTTTATCTATTTTTTTTTACTTTCTAGATACCTATACCTATTAAAATGTTTAGACTAGGCCATACCAGTTTATCCTAGAGTGTGCGTATTTATATCAGGATCAATTAGTTTGTCCTAGCCTAAACTGGTTTATCCTATCGGGCTTAGGACAAATTAGTTTGAACTAGGCTATACTAGTTAATCCTAACGCGTATAGGAAGAACTAGTTTGGCCTAGGCAAAACTAGTTTGTCCTGAAATCGGGTTTGGCCGGTAACATATCTACTAAATTGTATTTTTTTATATCATTCGTCAGTCTGATATCGATTTCAATCGATTATTGATATATGTTGTGGAACGTTACCAGCACTAGTTGCTACAATTGACAGACGAATGCCAAATTGCCTGTATCACGAAGTCGAAGCGAAACGCGACAGTATCGCTTGTCGCACAAGCGATACTGTCGCGTTTCTGTTATTCATCGTCTCCTAACACGCAACGTCAGATCAAACGTCCTAAGCAAACGCGGCAACGTAATGTGAATAAGGTTTACTTAACGGTAATTAATAGTTAGGAGCACGGAATTTAGAATACAATGGTAGTAGCTTGAACACAGTACAATATTTCTGCCAGAACCGGTGTCGCCAAACTAATACATTTATAATTCACTCATACTATAAATCGGAAGTTACGATTGGCTAGAAAAAAAAAATGGGCGTAAACGAAATGCAAAAAAATATACGATATATTATGCAACTTTAAAATCAATGCACTATAAATCAAAATAAAAAAGTATATTTTGGACTACCAACTGCCATCCGTCGCTAGATGGCATTGTTAAACGCCATCTAGCGCGCCGAAAACTGGTACTTGGTTTGAACTTTAACGACGTAAGAATAAAGGTGATATTTGAATGGCTTATCACTGGCTCGAATGCGGGTCTCTACTCAGATAGTGATGTAGCCTAATTCGATAAAAATAATATCGATAATATGAAAATGTGTTTTAAAAATAATGTAAAAAAGTATTGACTGCGATAGTGTGAAAGTCTTAAAATAATAAAATTAATACGTCGTTGATAACTTTTTAAACGTAACAAAAAAGGGTAAGTATTTATTTGCATGAAAATCAAAAACCATTTTGTTCGTATTTTTTACTAGACATAAGAATAGTAAATAAGAAAACCGTGCAGTATCCTCGCACCATCTGACCACGGCTATGAGCCGACCTACAGTACGTTTTTTAATCCTAGGCAACGATTTATCTCGGGGGGCAAACGCCTCCTGCCGGAGGTTATACGCCGGGGTCGTGCGGTCCATGGCCCTCTACGGCGCCCCTTTGTAGGCGCTGAACCTGATGCGGCGGCCCGCTCGGGCGATGCTCATGTCACAAAGGGTCATGGCGATCCGAATGATCCGCGAAAGTCCCCTCTTTGAGGAGTGGCTTGAGAGACGCAACGGCGTCCTCACCTACCGCCTGACGCAGGTCCTCACCGGACATGGAAGTTTCGGGAGGTACCTGTGTCTTATGGGGCGGGAGAAACGTCCGGGTGTCATCACTGCGAAAACCGCCCTGAGGACACGGTGGAACACACTGTAACGGAATGCCCTGCGTGGGCTGAGCACCACCGTGCCCTCAGGGAAGTGATCGGCGATGGCGACCTCTCGCGTCCGGGCCTAGTGCGGGACATGATGCGGAGCGAGGGGTACTGTTATAAGTTATTATAGCCCCGACATTTAAAATAAAACCGCTGACACCGCATCCCCGTTGCTCACGTTGATGCGCCACGTTTACTTAACATTACACGTTTCATTTCCTTTATTAGAATGACACACTTACTTTGGACCTCGTGGCGGACACACTAAGGGTTTTGTAATTTTACTATTTTCTTATTATATTTCTGGACATTCTAAAAGTGTTTTTTTTTTAGTGAGTAAGACTTTACCCGATAACAGTGGTGTCAGAAGTGGGATACGATCGTGCATATCGTTGCTGGCTATCAACAAAACAAAATCCCGGTCCGCCACACGCGTGTTCTGTGACTCTATCGACTCAATCCGCATACTCCATAAACTCTGTGCCATTCGTTATTCTGTGACTCTATCGACTAAATTCACACCATACTCCACAAACTCTATAATTATTCTGTGGCTCGCTGTGTCGTCGTGGACGATACGTGGCAAAAGTCAACGAATCTCCAGAGCAGTCTC